TCTCAACCCATCATGCTCTTAACTGTGGTTCTCTGCTGACGAGGGCAGCGATGGGTCGTGTACGTTTGACCCCAGTGGCAGGCAGCCAACACGCTCCACATAATGCTTATCAGAATGAGGAGGATGTTAGCTGACAAATATCAACTCCTCGCTGCTTTTAATGCGAACGCAAACGCTCCACCAATAAACTTTACATCAACACGTCACGGGCGACCCCGAAGCAGAGCCAAGACCCCCATACGAGAGGGGATAATTACACAGAGCGCCGCTGCTGGCTCATCTTCACCCCTGCTGACTGCTTTATTAAACAGATTCATCATTCCATTTGGTTTGGGAGGCCGTTATGGCTGAGAGGCGAACGATTGCCTTGCAGGAGTGCTGGGTTGATGAAATAACAACTGCCGCTGTGCTGTTTCATGCTCTCGCACGAGGGGCTTTTCCAGGAGCTATCAAGAATACGTGGGTGATTAGCCTGGAATCGAGAACAGACTTTAAAAACACCACAAAAGAACACTGGCTTCACAGAGGCACACAACAGAGAGACGTGATCTGCAATGAATAATACAAGTATGAATAATCAAAACACTTTTATCTCATTTATCTCATATATATGTATACACACACACACACACACACAATATTTTCATAACATTTTGTAACATTAAAAATGTGTATATTTAATTATTTTTCATTAATGCTTAAATAATTAAATATAAAATATTTATAATTATTAAATCTGTATACATATTGTATTATAATGTTATTGTATAAATAATATATTATGTCTAAAATATTATAAATAATATATTATAATATATATATAACTACATATAAAATATAATATATACAATATACACAATATATATACATATATATATATATATACATTTGCATACACACACTTTAACAAATCTTTACCATAATTATTATATTTAATTAATCATATACTGTCTGTGTGAATTAATTGTAATGATTAATATATTATATAATTATAATAACTGTATTATATATACACAAAAATATAAAACATAAAAATAACTATATATAAAACTATAAAATAGACATATTGCATTATAATATTATTATATAAATATATATAAAACATTATATATGTGTATATAAAATTATTATAATATTATAAAAAATTATCTATATCTATTAACTATATTTATATACTATAAATAATATATAACTAATCTATGATCAGTGATGAACTACAATGCATTCACTAGAGTGTAAGTTTATTTATCAAAACTGTGAAGGGAATATGCTCAAAAACACCCATCAGAGAATATTGCATGTTGCTCAGTGATGCCACATGTGCCGCTATGAATGAGATCCAAAAGCTAATTGGAGGAGAAGTTACATTTTACACAAAGCTATCGAACAGATTCATTAAGGCTTGGAATAAAGCACACAGACCACTTTCATAAATCATTTAGTTGTTAACAGTCATTTTTGGAAAAACAAACTCAAAAAGTAACTATTGGTGTGGATCGCCATGAGGGTGAGTAAATAATGACCGAATGTCCCTTTTTGGATGAACTTTCCCTTCGACTCTGGTTCTAGCAGCACAGATGCTAACAAACACAGTTTTCTCAGCTCTCTCTCTCTCTCTACTTGAGTCTCTCTGATACTCTGTCTTTCAGGTTTCCCCCTCCGGCCACTTAACCTCTCTCTTTAAAGCTTTTCTGGGAGAGGTGCTAGGCTGGAAAAAAAATCTATGTGCTTTAAAGGAGCCTGAAAGCTCTTCTAAAGAATATTAGACAAAGGAAAGAAAGATGGGACATCTTTAGAAGCCGAGAGCATCAGCAACACAGCATCTTTCCTCTCCTCTTGTTCCCTTTAAATAGAACAACGATCGGCCTGACAATATCTTCACACTCTAACAGGCGTCTTGTTCCGCTTAAGCATTCAATCTTTTCCCTCACGACCACCTCCGAGGGTGTGACAAGACAAACGGAGGAGGTATTTCTGCAGATTAGGCTTTCATTACAGAGACTGAAAGAGCAGAGGTTCACGAATTACGTGAGCGATGGCGATGATGGCTTGTTATTGTTCAGGCTTGTTTGGAGATGAGTTGGTGATAAAACAAGGAGCAGAGGAACTAAATAGCAGCTGTCGAAATCTCCCAAACTGGGTTAATTGCTCTGGGATGGGGAGAGAACATGGATATCATTAAAAAGACTTTCCCTTTCGTAATGACTTACTCATCATACCTGCCCAACGCCCAGAGGGAATGACGTTTCCTTTGTTTCGTATGCTGTTTGGTGGGAAATCATGATATCTGATGAAAGAAATCATCTGAGAGAAACATTCATCCGTCCGCGTTTGAGGCAAAACGCCAATCATGTGGGGTGATATCAAGAGTCGTAGCAATAAGACTTTGCTGTATCCCTTGATTGGGAAGTGGCAGGCACCTCTGGTAACGTCTTCTGCAATTTTACATTATGGAAAGTGTCAGGATCAGTAGACAAAAACTGCAGTAGGTTCTTGTAGCTCGACTGGTAGCTCAGTGCTTAAAAACACCAACATTGTGGGCTTGACTCCAAGTGAGCACATATACTACTGTTTATAATGTTGCAAAGATTTCTATTTCTAATAAATGCTCTTCTTTGTAACTTTCTATTCATTAAAGAATTCTGAAAAAAAAGATCATGGTTTCCACAATAATATTAAGCAGTACAACTATTTTCAACATTGATAATAAGAAATGTTTCTTGAGCAGCTAATCAGAATGATTTCTGGAGAATCATGTGACACTGAAGATTGGTGTAATGATGCTGAAAATTTAAAAAAAAATTACATTTTAAAATATATTCAAATAGAAAACAGATATAAATCTGTATATAACAGAGATTTAAATATATAAAAATATAAATTGTAATAATATTTCACAAATATTACCTGTTTTTATTGTCAGATCCTCATTCAAAACTTTAGTATTAAGATGTGGATTTGGGATGGGTTTGATAATGAATTAAACAATTCTGATTCTACTTTTGTTTCCTTAAATCATGCTTCCTTACACTCAAACAAAGATATTTTGAACAAAGTCTCATTGTTTTTTTTGTCCATACAATGAAAGTCAATAGAGTTTAAAACAACATGGGACCCCACTGACTTTCATTGTATTTATTAAAAAAACAACAACAACACTGAGACATTGTTCAAAATATCTTTTGTGTTTAGCAGCAGTGTTATTTTAGTAACTGGTAAAAAAGTAGTTATTTTTAATAATAAGTAGTTATTTTGATTAATATTTTGAATCTGTTTTTATTTTTATATTTTCTGTTTTCATTTAAATTTTAGTTAGTGTTAGTTTTTTGTTGTATTTTGTAATTTTTGTTTTTTAGTACATCAAGTTAAACTAAATTAAAATGAAAATGTCGCCGTATATATATATTTATATATATATAATCTTGGAGGGATTGGCATGGTAATTTACATGACAATAGAATGATTTCTGGAGAATCATGTGACACTGAAGATTGGTGTAATGATGCTGAAAATTTAAAAAAAAATTACATTTTAAAATATATTCAAATAGAAAACAGATATAAATCTGTATATAACAGAGATTTAAATATATAAAAATATAAATTGTAATAATATTTCACAAATATTACCTGTTTTTATTGTCAGATCCTCATTCAAAACTTTAGTATTAAGATGTGGATTTGGGATGGGTTTGATAATGAATTAAACAATTCTGATTCTACTTTTGTTTCCTTAAATCATGCTTCCTTACACTCAAACAAAGATATTTTGAACAAAGTCTCATTGTTTTTTTTGTCCATACAATGAAAGTCAATAGAGTTTAAAACAACATGGGACCCCACTGACTTTCATTGTATTTATTAAAAAAACAACAACAACACTGAGACATTGTTCAAAATATCTTTTGTGTTTAGCAGCAGTGTTATTTTAGTAACTGGTAAAAAAGTAGTTATTTTTAATAATAAGTAGTTATTTTGATTAATATTTTGAATCTGTTTTTATTTTTATATTTTCTGTTTTCATTTAAATTTTAGTTAGTGTTAGTTTTTTGTTGTATTTTGTAATTTTTGTTTTTTAGTACATCAAGTTAAACTAAATTAAAATGAAAATGTCGCCGTATATATATATTTATATATATATAATCTTGGAGGGATTGGCATGGTAATTTACATGACAATGTTAATGTATTTGGTCTTGGCGGAATAGATCTGCTACGCTGCTGCTGCTGCTGTGGCAGAGCAAGTACAGAGACTTGCTACTGCCAATACATCCACAACATGCTGCTGTGAGCATGTAAGAAATATTGCTGCTGCAAGTATAACATACATGAAATAACCCCCATATAGCATACATGAATCACCTCGTAGCAGATCTATACAGGTGGAGCTGGGGAAGGTGGAGGGTTTCTGAAGCAAGCTGCAACTGCTACGGCAAGCACTAGTCATATATTTGAATGTTGAGCAGCGAGCTCATTGGCTACCAATACAGGAGAGAACCAATCAGCTGTGCCATGTGATAATGATGTCATTAGGTCAGATTGAGTTAGATCCATCGGACTGCGCCATCTAGAGTTTCATGCCAGAACTCTGTATATATGTATATATATACAGTATATATATATATATAGCTGAAATAATTTGTAAAAAATATTTTAATTTCAAGTAACAATTTTTTAAAAATGGTTTTCATTTTAGATTTAGTTAACTATAATAACCATAGTTTTGCATAGCGAGTGTGAGAAAATGATGACAGTATTGTCATTATGGAACTGTCTGCGATCTGTTCCATTAAGTAAGTGAAGCAGCTCAACATTAACCCAATTAAACTTTCATACCCGTTTAAGCATCTTATGCCGATGTCAGGAATGACTAATCTTGTTTTCTTCTTGTCTGTATTTCAATTTGTCAGCGCAGAGTTTTCTAAGCTCTGATGTCAGTTGTTGTCCTCGCTATGGAGGTGTATCCTGATAAGGGACAGATGGACAGATGCAAGACTCTTACCAAGCTTGAGACTTCCTCCTGGGCACGTTCTGTCTGCACCACTTGGAGTGAGGGGTCAGGTGATAGATCAGCTGCCTGCAGATCTTCTCAGAGGACTTGAGAGCATCAGTCTCCTGAAAAAGCCAGAATGAGGAGAAGCGGGTGATGAAGAGCTATTCTGGGAGACGGGCTGCCAAATAAAGCACCAATCTGAGGGCTTATGGTCACTGACAGAGAACCTAAAAAACTTGAATGTTTACCATGTCTAGTGCTATTACAAGGGTTGCAGAGAGGTAAACTGTTCAGGTTAATCTGTCAGTGATTATGATTAGTGTCATTAAATAAGCAATAAGCCACAAGAGCCTAAAACCTTTGTTAACATGATAAATTCACTGTTATGTGGCAACAACATGGTAGCAGTTTATTGCTTGTATAAAATGGTATGATAGAAGACACTGCTATTTAACTATTACGTTTTCAAGAATAATCATTATAAAGTTTCAGTATCAAGTTTGGGGTTGGTAAGATTTTTTTATGTTTTTAGAATAAGTCTCTTATGCTCACCAAGGCTGCATTTATATGGTCAGAAATACAGTAAGAACAGTAATATTGTGAAATATTATTACAAATTAAAATAACCTTTTTCAATTGGGATATTATTTAAAATGTAATGTATTCCTGTGATGCAAAGCTGAATTTTCAGCATCATTACTCCAGCATTTAGTGTCACAAGATCCTTCAGAAATCATTCTAATATGCTGATTTGGAGTTATTATTATCATTGTTTAACATAGTTGTACTGCTTAATATTTTTGTGTTTTTTTATTCTTTGATAAATTCTTTAACAGAACATCATTAATTTGAAATATAAATCTTTTGTTACATTATAAATATCTTTACTGTCACTTTTGATCAATTTAATGAATCCTAGCTTAAAACAGTATTGATTAATTTATTTGAAAAGGAAATCCTATTGAAAAAAAAATCTAAAATGAAATGTATGGAGACATTAAATTAATATTTGATGGGGAAATGTACTTAATTGTTATGAAAATAATGTCATATTGTTAAAATAATCTTAATGGTCCTAAAAAACTTTAGATTCAAAAGCAGCAATTAGTGCTTCAAAGAGTGGTACTCTTCCTTAGCATATAACTTGAGATGAAGATGAGAGTTCAGTTAAAATGTCTTAGTTATTCATGTCATGTTGAACTACTGGGTGAGAGGTTGGTTTAAAACAATATCAAGACCTTTGGTCAACCATGCTTGAAGCCATTTCTGCATCAAAACAGGCTTTGGCTCGCCTCTCTCTCTTTAAACGGATTGGCCAGAGCAGAGCTGAGTAAATCTAATCAGTGCTGAAGCACAACAACGTGAGTGAGGCAGGTAAACACAAAAGACTGGGCAAAGCCATTGACTGGAGTCGACTTGCTCGTACTATCAATCTAAGAAATGACAGGAAATAAACATGTACATCTTAGTGGCCTCCTGACGGCTATTAATTTAAAACAAAGACGTTTGTTGAATCTTTAATGTATAGTAAGTTGGTTTCTGGTAGCAGTGAGTGACAGCAATTATCAGACTACTTTTATTGAACTCCCTTAATAAAGACGCTGTCCATTCGATGACGTGCGCTCCAGAGGGAGTTTTACTGTCGGAAGGATTTACGTGGACTTTCAATCAGGGACTGAACATTAAGACATTAGCAATAGCTCAATGCGCAACTGCCACAGTTTAATGAAAAACTGTCAATTGTAAGACAGTTAAATGAAAAACAAAATCTATGTGCTATATGCACAAACAAAAGCTCATCAAAATGCCTTTCCATATTTCCCATGATTTCCATCATGAATAACTGCTGCAATTGAGGATCCCCACCAGCTGACTCCTGGGACTCAAAACTTCATTAGTTGCTGGTGTAGTGAGACACACATTATACTGTATTATAAGCAGTGCTGGGGAAGTTCAGCTAAGGTACAATGTTCCCATGTAGATGACGTTAAACCAGAGACAGACCTCTCATAAAAACAGACCACACACAGCTGCAGAGTTCTGCTTTCCAGTTAACAGAGACACCTGTGTATAGATTTTCAGTGATCCGAGCAAAAAAAGATGATGATTTTTGATACACTGTTGTCAGAATTTAATGTTGTTTTGAAATATATTATTGCAATGACATCTTTCTTATTTGAAGTTATTTAAGGGGGCAAATTACTTTAAAATAAAATAAATAATTCAATTTAATTTAAAATCATTTATTATTATTTATAAAATAAATATATCATTTATTGAATTTAAAGGGGTCATATGATGCTTTTTTAAAGATCATTATTTTGTGTATTTGGTGTAACAGAATATGTTGACATGCTTTAATGTTCAAAAAACACATTATTTTTAAAATACTGTACATTATTGTAGGTCCTCTATGCCCCGCCTCTCTCAAACGCTTCGTTTTCTACAAAGT